ATTTTTTTAATAAAAACACGAATTATTATAATAGTTTTTTAATAGATTAAATAAATTTTAAAAGCTGCAAATATTTATTTTTTCTTAATACCCCTTTTTAATATATATATATATATATATATATATATATATATATATATTAATTTATTTGGTGTAGTTTTTGTATTTGTTTGATATTGTAATAATATATTTTTTGTGATTTTTATATGTAAAGATGTTTAACTTATTTGGAATTAACTTATTTGCTCGAGATGAAGATGATCCCATAAAAACATCATCATTTTTCATTGATCATGTTATATTTCTAAACTAGTTGTGAGACCAATGTATTATATGGGTTAATTTTAAAAAAATTACATATAAATATCAGAATATTTGAGAATTTTGAACTTTTAAGAAAATATAAAAAAAATAAAGATTTAATATAATGAAAATGTTTTTTATCTTTTAAATTTAAATAAATTATTTAAATAAAGAAAAGAAACTAATGAGTTTTAATTTTGAGAATTTTGAAATTAAAATGTAAGTTTATTAATGAAATTAATATTCATTTATTACTACATTTATTTTAATTATTACATTAAAATATTATCTGGAATATCATAAAATAGAAAAACTCATAAAATGACTTATGGGAAAAAAAAATTAATTCAAAATAACCACAAAATTACGTTTGACAAATTGAATGAGAATGTAACATATAACAAAAAAACATTAATTTATTAGAGAAGATCATACACTTCATATTACTATTTATGTAATTATTTGTTAAATTTTTTATTTCCCAACTGTTTTGAGATATGTGTATAATACATGGTTAAAGAAATACAAAGAAATGTTTTGGTTTGTTTAGGTTGATCAACATCTTAGTTTTGGAAACCACACGACCAATAGAGTTGAGAGTCAACATTCTAAGTTCAAGAAAATTTTAAACTCTACAAATTCCGATCTTGCAAAAATTTGTGCAACGAATTAATTAGGTCGTGCAGTCACAACTAACATCGATCAACAAAAGCTTTGAAAATAGTATTATTTTTCACTACAATCTCCACAATTTTTCGTGCTTCCAATTACTATGGGGCCATGTTTCGAACGACGCTTTTGATATAATATTATGAGAGCTTCAAAGGTTGGATGATTTATAGTTAGACTCCTCGAATTGTTGTTGAAAACTTCATAATAGTTGTGGGTTATCATGTGCTTGCATGGTTTCTGTGTACTCGAATTCAGGTTGGTACGTTTAACTACAATATACAAATAGATTTTTAAATATTAGATAAATAATTGTTTTATATTTCAATGCAGTTGAAAATATACCATTGGATTCAATAGATATCTTTTGGAGGAAACTTGATATTTCAGATACGATGCATTTAGTAGACGACGATATTTATTATGATGATGTATTAATTTTAAAGAAAACTTCAACAAGCAATCAAAATTCAGGAGAAAAAATAATTTACAAATGCTAGAAGAGATATATCATATGCAAACAATTGATATTGGAGAGCCTACGGTTCAAAAAAAGACTCGTGAACGACCAAGTGTGACGAAACAACAAAAAAGAAAAGTCAATCCTCTGAATCAAGCTCCTTGTAGATGCAATTTCTCAACCACATCAGAGCTTACTGGGTTGGATTTAAACAAGAAGCTAAAAGACATAAATAAATAAATAAATAAATATATATATATATATATATATATATATATATATATATATATATATATATATATATATATATATATATATGATTGACTTAAATGATGAACCACAAACGCGTGATATCCATTCCAAATGAAAAGTATTATATATATATATATATATATATATATATATATATATATATATATATCATAATTACATCAACGATATACTTGACGTAAACGCTGATGAAAATTGCAGGTTACGAGCGACACTTGTTTGTCTAGGGTATAATGAAGAACAATGGATATGCATTCGACAAATGCTTGAAGAGTTAGAGAGTCAATATCAGGCACAACTTAGTATTTTTATTAACGGGTTCAATGTGGTATACAAGTCATTACGCTGCTTTGAATCACCTGCACCTTTGCGATGTTGTATGACTATGTTTTTAAATGGTTACCAAATTGTCGACAAGTTTGGAGTGATCGTTTAATTTTTTAAGCCACAAACAATCTTAAACCTGTTTCCCTCTATAGAGAGGTCCAGAAGAGTTTCAACCCCGCCGATTCATTACATTGGCACATGTAAATAGTAATTATTATATGTCAGGGGTTTTTTAAAGGGACATTACCCAATGTATCATTCTATAATATATTTGAATATCCATAAGAGTTCGTTTGCATCTACATGGCAAACTATATATATTGGTGGCGTTTTGATTATATAACCAACATAAGTCTTATATTTTTGAAACACGTACATATCAAAGATTAAATGCAAATATATTTGAATTTTTTTATTATTTGTTACGTTGAAATATTATTTTACTATTGTTGTGTTGTATTTTAAGTTTTTTTAAAATTAAATAAAAATAATTAAGTATCTTCTATAAAAAAAATATTAAAAAATTATCTATAATTAAACTAAATAAAAAATATATATTTTAATAAATAGATTTATAAATAATTATAGTTGTTTATATAGTAAATATATTTAACAATGTCAATTTTTTTTATATATTAAAAGAAACTATTAATAAGTTATTAATAATTAATCTACCCTAATAAATCAACATCTTTTTGACACTTGGCAAATTATTATGCGTTTAGACAAATGGCATTTTCTTAATTTTTTAATTTTCAAATATTCCACGTGTAAATGTATTAGAATGCCACATGGAATGCAGCTAAATTGTTGAACACACGTATATCTACTATAATAATAAATATAAATAATAAATAATAATAAATAATTTGTTTCCTCAATTAAGTCCTTATACAGAACAACAAAGATACGTTTGCCAACTGATTAGCCTTCAATCACGGTGAATTGAAGGATTCGATTTCAAAATCATATCAGTTATGATGTTTGAAGGATTGGCGTTCAGAGCAGAATTCAACGGTGGATTGAAGGATTCGATTTCAAAATCATATCATGGTGGATTCAAGGATTCGATTTTAAAATCATATCGGTTTCTTTTAACATAATCTTCTCTGTGTATGGCCTGTACTTAAATGGAATGTTAACTGGAAATCTATTTAGAATCGCATCAATCATGCGTAATCCTTCGTCCTTTATATATAGCAGGTAATAATTTCCAAAAATTACTTATTATTACATCTATAATACATTCATGAGTCGTTTCTTTTCAATTTCGTTTATACATGCACGACTCGTCTTCTTCACGCTGGAATCAACTGTCTTTAAGAATCTGCATTACCATCCCAACAACTACATAAGGTTAGTATTATGCCCAGTGATGCATTTCCTTTTATTTTCAATTATTTTCTTTTTTTTAACACATTGTAACAAGGTCATTTGTATAATGTCCGCCAACTGTTCGATGTAATGCCAACTACCATAAAAAAGCTTTGCTGTTTGCTACCATGTCTTTAGTTATTGTTTTGATCATCAGAAAACATGGTATTCATATGTGAACAGAGTATGTAGCTAGGATTTCCTGTTGGATTTCTGTGATGCTTTGCTTGATTTGCATATATCCATACAAGAAACCAGTAGTTAATGGTTGTTTCTTATTTTTTTCAATTTTAGTGTGAGTGTTTAATTCAATCCCTACTGTAACTTTATTGAGAATATCACTTTATTTATATAAAAAACGGTTATTGAGTTTTTTTTTGGACTTAAAAAGGGCATTTTTGTCCAAGTAGTTGAATGTGGATATAATACAGAAAAAACTAAGTTTTAATGTGCCTGATTGTTGACTCTAATCTTCTTGATTTTGGATATTTTTATATTTTGATTTTTTTGATGTTATATTTGAAATTTAAGCTTCTGTGAAAGTTGAAAAGAAGAAATACAGTTGAATATTTTATTAATTTTTTCTAGGATTGCAAATAGCATAAAAAAGCTTTGCTGTTTGCTAGCATGTCTTTAGTTGAATGTGGATATAATATAGAAAAAACTAAGTTTTAATGTGCCTGATCAATTGCAAACAGCATAAAAAAGCTTTGTTGTTTGCTCCGGTAAATGTTTTTTTGTTAGATAAATAGCTAATGATAGTCCAATTTGCAAAGGTAATGGCTGATCAATTGTCTTGACTGCAATCCATTCACCACTCATCTCATCTCTTTGGGCCTTTCTTGGTAATTTAATGTTAACTGTCATTCATTCGACAAAACTTGGTCCTTTTAATGGATGGTGACTATTCTTAAAAATTAATGGTATACTTTGTATAATGCACATCCTTCTTTCATTGAACTTGGATATGATTCTTGAGCATGTGAACAAAGATTACTTCTATGTAGTACATGAAGTATTAGATGAATATAAGTTCAAGCAAATCTGAAAAAACAACCTGGACAGGTAATTGAATGTGTGTTTAGACACTCCAGAAATAATAATCACAACACAATACAACATTCTTTGAAAGATGTGGACCAGAAGGACTGTTATGCCCCTGTTGTGTATATGTAATATGTGGACCAGATATTATTGCTTATATTGAGTGAACATATATGATTCTACTTTGTCGTATATAGCATTGATGTACGATTTTTTATCTCTCCGTATCGATATCTCTTTGTGCCTTTTTAATCAACCCGGGTGAGGATGAACTGTGGTCTGTGTGTTTGTAATTGTCATTTCTGTATGAGCAGGGGCAGAATTGTCATTTTTGTTAAATTTGACCATGTATCATACTAACATTACAAAAATTGTCGATGCAACTTTAATTTTGAAAAGAAAATTTATGACTTACACAAACAATTATCTAAACAGGGGAATAAATAATAAATTGTATCCTGATTACTTTGCTTATTATTCTCAAATCTAATTTGTTTATCATTCTCAATTTTTTCCATTATATAATGAATGTTTAATTTTTGTAATGCAGCTCATGGATCTAACAGAAATTACAATGATTAATGATCTAGGTCTCTCAAATGACAACTACACAATTAAAGTGCGAATAATCCGGCTTTGGAAACAAACAACTTGGTCGAAACCACACGAGACACGACAAATCGGAATGATTTTAATGGATGAAGAGGTATTTAAAAATAATTGCTTTAAACATATTTAATGATTTCAACTTATCATATTATTAGTAATACACTATTATGTTAATCATATAGTTGTTTATGTCTTATTTATTTAATCGTTTTTTGAAGGGTAATAAAATTGAATGCACTGTGGACAAACCATATGTTATACTGGGAAAGGCACTTGAAGAATATGCTGATGTTTACATTCATAAGCCAACACTTGGTTTGTATGTTGATGATGCCATGAAGTTTGTTGACATTCAAAACAAATTGTTTTTTCAATATACCACTAAAGTAAACAAGTGCATTGGTTTTAATGGGCCCTTGAATTCTTTCGCTTTTGCAAACTTCCAAGATGTTATCGATAAGGCGATCCCTTCAACTATTTCTTTTGGTAAAGTTCACAACTTTGATTTGACATTTTACTTCTTATAATATTTTTATATAATTTGTCCATCCTAACACTAATTATATACTAACATCTTACATAATGTATATTATAGATGTGATCGGTAATGTTTTTCAATGCTATCCACTGGAACCTGCAACCCAAAAACTTGATAAAAGGATTACACTGAAATTGGAAGATTTAGAGTATGTTTCTTTTAAAACTTGTGTATTATTACTTTAAAAATTGTTGTTTTAATTCATATACATTTAGGGGACGACAAGTGCTTGCTACTTTGTGGGGAGATTATGCTGAACAAATTGATTCCTATGTATCCAAACATCGGGTGAATTTTGTAATGATTATTCAGTGTGCTAGGTGGAAGGATTACCGAGGTCCTTTTATTAATACAATGTTCTATCTTTACCATTTTCAATGTTTATCTAAGAAATTATTTAATCCAATATTTTTTTCATTCAATTTCCAGGGCGTGTATATGTGAATAACACATATTTAGCAACAAAGCTATTCATTGATGAGCAAGTTGAAGAAATTATTGATTTCAAAAAAAAGTTTGATAATGTTTCAATCAAGTCCTTTATATATTACTATTAAACTAAATTTATTTTTTATTGATAGTTTGCTTACACTTTATTTTTAAACAGGTTTAAAGAAAAAGAAAGTGGATCGGCTTCTTCATGTTCTCGTGCTACAACATCTTCTATCATGTATAGTGTACATGATGACTTTCTGAAAAATACTAAATTTTACCAGATTTCCATGATCCACGAATTAGATGAGGTATATTTACATTATTAAATCTTAAATTAGTAATGCTTAATTTTCCTGATTCAACATCATTGGTTATTACTAATAATAGGGGAGTTATGCCATCATTCTTGGAACAATTAAGATGTTTACAGATAATCAAGAATGGTACTACCCGGCTTGCAAGAACTGTAAGAGAAAGGTTCATAAAATGCCCATTGAACAGGCAAATCTTTTGGATCATGTGGCTGAGAATGAATCTTGGGTATGTACACAGCATAAGTGCAAAAACCAAGTCATAGTTGCTGAACCAAGGTATAATAAGAAATTTAATATTCTTACATTATTGTATTTATCTAATTTGTATGGTTTTTATTTGTTTTTTAAATACCTTAGTTTTATGCTCAAAATTCGAGTACAAGGCTTGGTGGGAGTAGTGACACTTACTCTGTTTGATCGGGATGTTAGAAGTATTCTAAACATTTCAGCATCAGATTTGATAGAAAAGTATGAAAAGGTATATATTATTAAAAATCCATTATATAAAATTCATAATTTATTCTAATGATTTCTACATTTTAAGTCTAATTTTGTTTCGTTTACTTTTGTTTAGATGGGTGACACTGTTGCTTTTCCTGTTGAGATCAATGAACTTATTGGTAGAAAAATGGCTTTCAAAATTATAGTTAGAGGCTTTACCGCTGGAAGAAAATACATTCGTAGTTACAACATATCAAAGATAAGTGATGATGTTGACATAATTTCTGCACTCGAGAAGCTTGAAAAAGCAAACCACATTGAACAGGTATACCTACAAATATTGGATTAATCCGTCTACAAATTATGTTTTATATACTTGATATTTACCAATCTAAATTGCACTTTACAAACTGTTACATATAGGACAGTGAAACTGAGTCTGTTAATGTCGTGGTCTCAGATTTCAACTCTCAGGATACAATTGGTTTTAAGGTATAATATCCTACTTTTTTTGCCCTTCACTCATTTTACATTACTCCTATGTCAATCATTAACATATGTTAATTCTTGCATTTAAGGGTTCTGCTTCCTTCGTTGCTGATAATACTCATATCTCTACTTTTCCAAATACTATCTCAATGACTCCATCAACCAACCATGACACCACTAGCCTGCTCTCACCAACTACCAATGTGAAACGTAAACTTGTAGATGTTTACGATCTTGAAGATACTGTTTGTGAGTCATCAACAAAACCTTCAAAAATATCCATTGGAATCAAGGAAACTGTTGTGTCCACCCAACTATTGATTCCTAAAGTCGAGAAGTGAGATCTTATGAACGTTTCAAACAATTTTAAGTTTTTCGTTTTTTTTTTATCATTCAAGTCGAACATCAATTTTTAGATTTTATGGTTTGTCAAGAATACTTTCGTAATTGGTTTCACATATTCTGTTTTCTTTATTTTTATGTTAAGAATGGATTTTGAATGAACATATAGCATTGATGTATCACATAAACTTAATAAAAAATAAAAGATTGATAAGCAGTTAACAAGGTTTGATGTGTTAATTACTATTGAATCTATACAAAACCAGATATTATTGCTTATATTGAGTGAACATATACGATTCTACTTTGTCGTATATAGCATTGATGTATTCTTTTTTATCTCTCTGTGTTGATATCTCTTTGTGCCTTTTTAATCAACCCGGGTGACGATGAACTGTGGTCTGTGTGTTTGTAATTATCATTTCTGTATGAGCAGTGTCAGAATAGTCATTTTTTTTTAAATTTGACCATGTATCATACTAACATTGTAGAAATTGTCACTCCCAACAATTTGCTAATTTTGTACTGAGTTCTTATTGATATATACATTAGAATCCTTTTAGTTTTTTTTTTTGAAATATCACCTGTTGCTTCCAATTTATTATCACATTCATAACATATATGATTTTTTACATTACATATATAGATAGAAGAATTATGTGGGTTTTTTAGTTTTAAAAATTATATAAATAACTTTGTAAAACTTTTGTACTGATTGTTTAAAAACAGCATATAGCTTTCTACTTTGTCGTATACATCATTCATATATTCATGTTTATCGCTCTGTTTTAATAGTTATGTATGAATACTGGCAAAATCGTCATAAGGGCAAAATCGTCATACATAGCTATCTTAAGTTTCAAAAAATTTCATACAAACATCATATGGATTCACAAATATACTCTTTGTTTCTTTTTAATAAGGATAATTCATGCAAGTTGTTTGCACCTAGATCTTTTTTGTTATTGACCACACACTGTTTTTTTGTCTCTTTTTTAAAGAGACCATTCTTGCAGTTTTTTTTTTTTTTTTTTTTTATGGCCAGGAACATATTTTTATTTTTTCTCACTTATGGACAATTACTGTAACTTCTGTAAAGGACGGGGAATTGTTTTTAAAATTAGCATCATTTATGTAGTCTTTATGTGTTTAAAGTAATAGGAACCATTTACATTTGTAGCTGCAAGATGCTTATTTTCTTGTTTTTACTATGTTAGTCGCTTTATATGTTGCAGGGGTATAACAGTCTTTTTTTATTTCTTTCATATCTAAATCAAAGATGTGTTAATTTTGAGTTTTTCTTGATTGTCATTATTTAACAAAGACTTCAACATTTGTCCGTTCATCAGTTCTACATCATACGATCTAAAGCTCGCAATTTTTTTTGCTTAGCTGAATAGTCGGTATGCACAACAACAGTTTCACCGTCTCCCTCCACAAACACGGTTGTGTTTTCCTTTTTTTATGCTTATTATTTACACAATGTTTTTTCTTTCAATTTACAATTATTTTTACATAAATAAACTTAATAAAAAAATAAAAGATTGATAAACAGATAAACAGTTATTAGTTTTATTAGATATGGCTCCCAAATCTCAAGATGCAGAAGAGAAATCAGATTCATCAGACTCATTAGAGCTTGGATCCTCTACATCCACCTCATCTTCTGATACCTGTGGAGCATCAGGGTTATCATTTTCATCTTCAGAATCATCAGGAAGCCTTGAAATGTCATTAAATTTATCCCCATACACTGCAGTTTCAGGAAACACCTTCTGCAAGATATGAAAATCAAGATTTTTGTAAAAACCCAAATGTAATATTTTTTTAAAAATGACCAAACTGACCTCCCAGGTATCGTTGATGGACAAATCTGTCCCCATGGAATCATTTAACAAGTCAACACAGTCAACCTTGCAATCACAAACAGGGCAAAGCCACCCTTCATCATGAGGAGGAACTGTATACCAAAGAGATGATAATAAATAATTGGAGGGAAAACGAATAAAGGAAAATAGGTAGACATGGAATCTTGATAAATCAGAGTAGGTTCACAACATTCATCAATTTTAATTAACATGATTTTGGAAGGAAAAAAGAAGAAATGAAAATATGTAGACAGGTAAATGATTGGTGTCTAGATGCGTTTAGACAAATGGCATTATTGTAATGCTTAAATTAGTAATGCTTAATTTTCCTGATTGGTAATGCTTAATTTAGTAATGAATATAATTTAGACAGGTAAAATAATTTGGACAAATGACATTCAACCAAGGTTTTTCTTGGCTTAACCTATTAAGTAATTTTGTCCAAATTAAGTCAACAGGTAACAACCATATGGCATTAAGTGCTTAACTCATTAGCTCAAAAACTAACAGGGACTTTAAGTATTAGCTCAAAACTTTTTAGCAATTGCTGATGAACAGGCTCTATCTTTGTCAGTATATGCATCACTAATGCTAGATCCAAACAACACAAACCCTGTAATCTTGTCTTGAAAGTTGTTCCCCTATGCCTCCTGTATATACAATGGTAAAATGGCCATTTGATTTGATTATATTCAAACAGCTCAATCGGTGCAAGAAATAAACAGACTTTGTCTATATGGGATGATTATCTATACACACATCACTACCCACAGATGGTAAATAGGGATGATAAATAATTGGTTATAAAGCTCTTTATGTATTAATTAATGTTAAAAAATATGTTTTTTTCTTGATTCTTATGTCTTTTCTTAGAACATGGTTACACATTATCATCAAAGTATAATCTTTCCTGTAATCTTGTCTTGAAAGTTGTTCCCTTTAAGCACAGGCAAAATCAATACAGAAGGTGTCTCTTCAGGAAGCATGTCCCAGTGATCAGAACACACATCTTTTTGTAATCTCCTTTACAATTAATAATGTAATTATCATTTTAATCACTTAACAGCAGTATATCATGGGTCATATTCTAAAGAATATGATTATAATGGTATAGAGAATATGATTCCAACAATATTTTCGTTTTCTATATCGATGCTACCCATGCCCTGGTCCTATCTGTTCTATTTTCTACTCGGATTTTCACTACTTTTCCCATTATGCCCCTGCATTATACATATACCTAAATCCACCAAATATTCAGCACAAAATCTAGCTAAATAATCTCCAATTAGTAAAAAAAATCTGAACCTAAATTAAAATCATATTCAATTAATAACTTTTATTATACAACAGACCTTAACAATTCATGTTCCACTACGTCTGGTCGTCTGCCCATCGGAAATCCTTTGTCGATCACTTTATTTCCATCTCAGCACCCATAAACTCCGACGGTATCATCTGTGATTTCCTTCTACTGTCGTTGTTTAACGAACCCCTTTTAGTTCCTTCGATCTTCAATTGTACACCAGACAATCCAAATCGCATCTTGCATTCTGCTTAGGTCAAGAATCGATATTCACATTTTCAATGCCTCCTTCGTTGCTCACGGTGTTGTTTTACTTTTTTATCCTCATTTTTTACGTAAACCCTTTTTTTATATTTAAGATAACTAATGTTTAATATTCAAATTTATATGATAAAACAAAACCGTGAAAAGAATTTTTGAATTAAAAGTAAAAGAAGTAAATAAACTTTCTATAAGAATCACTATAGTTTTATTTTATTTCTATTTAAATTTCCTAGTTTAACTACCGAAATCTATTTTTTTTCCAATATTTCTATATAAGGTTTGTCTTCTTTTTCCAATCATTTTTTATATCATCCAATAATGTATATTAAATACAACTATATAAGTACAAATTCTTTATAATAACTCCACGTCCATTTATTTTTATTAAATATAAGCTTCATAAAATGTTAAATTAACAATTTTTTTACATATACGTATTTTTATAATGTGTCAATTTTACTAATTCATAATATATACTATCAATTTATATAACATTGGTTTATTATAGTTTGATTACAGGATCTATTGTTTTTTATGATATAAACATCGGATGGATTCAAATCATTCTAAAGACCGGCGCAGACAAAGAAAGTTAAATTTGGATTAAAAAAAAACTCCAATGGCGTGACAACCACTTCAATTGGTAATTATATTTCAACGTGCCCATTTTGTTTTATTATCATTACTCTTTTATTTAATTTAATTTATAAAAATTTTGATTAAGTCTTATTGAAATTTGTATTACACATAATCAATAAATTTTATTATTAATCTGGTACAGTATTATATATTAAATGTTGTTTTTCCTTATAAAAATAACTACTTTACCGTATATAAAATATCCTTATAAAAATCTAACAACTTCATTTTATTCTATATATCTTGCAGGTAACAATAAAAATATAAATTCAAATATTTCAGATGGATATCAGCCTACAAGTTTTCAATCTACTTTGACATATTCTGGGAATATTACAAGTTCATTATCCAATGATGCTAAAGATAAAAGAAAACTCAGAAAGTTATATTTGGATAACAAAAAATGTAAAGATAAAACCACCACGGCAAATGGTATATTTTTTTTTTCTATCATGCATTTATAATTACTTTGTTACGAGAGTATTGTTTTTACATAAAAAATTTAATTTTGTTTATTAGTTTTTATTTTCTATTACTCTTTTGCGACATAAATGCATGATATTCCCTTATAACATTCTTAGTATTTCACAAGTAACTATTTTTCCGATCAACATTGTTTTTATTTTTTAATATTTTATTTAAATAAATTTATGATATTTCGTTTTCGATGAAATAAATATGCATATATTTTTTTTCTTTGTATATATTAATTATAAATGTTTTGAGGATCTTAATAACTTTTTTCTTATATATTTTTCTCAGTGCTTACTAATGACATTAGCAAAAGTCAAAGCATGTCATCAACCAAATTCAATAATGTTGTTGGGGACAATCAAAATGTCAACCAAAACATTTATATGGAGTGTGCGCAACAATGTTTCAAATCTACTTCCAATTATACGACAAGAACTCCGTTATTTAACATTACCAATGGTATATCGAATAACTTTTCATATCAGTTATCCTACTATATAAGTTATATAAATTAATATCTATGCACTGTATACAATTTAATTCATACAATTATCCTTTCTATTTCAAATCTCAATACTGACATTTATACTTTCAGTATATGGACACAAATCATTTATCCTTATCAACATCTAACCACTTCAAATTATTCTATATATCTTACAGGTAACAATGAAAA